GCCTCCTAGAGCACAGCCTTTGTTTCACAGTTTGAGAACCATAAACTAAATTGTCCAACATTGGAGGCATTGATTATCTAAGTCTGAAGTGTATGGATAAATGCTTGTGGCCCTTCAAGTACTTGGGTGGACATCAAGTATCCTCATATAAAGCAAAGAGCACGGAGAGAGGAAACCTCAACCATTTGAATTCCTATTTTAATTTCTATCAGCAACATCTACTGAATGTTCTCTATGGCTGGTATGAGGTCCTTGACACAGACTTTTTTTTTAACTCCTCTTTAGACTCTGAACAGGTACCACTTTAACCCAATTTTACAGGTGAGGAAACCATGAAGTTTGGAGGAGGTAAACAGCTTGTCCAATGGCACAGAGCCAACAAGTGGCATTGGGGGTTTTGAACCCAACAAACAGAACTATATCATGTAGCCTTCAAGTGAAATTTGATATGTATACCAGAAGTTCCTAATTGTGGAGCAAAAAACAAACAAACAAACAAAATCAACACTCTGTTTCCTGCATGGTAAGGAAGTAACCAACATTGCCTCTGCTTAGAGAGATATTTCATCATTGACTGGACATAGGTCTAGTCAACCTAACACAAAGGGAACCAATATTGCTTATTTTCAGGGAAGGACACAATTATGCAGAATACACAAATATCAAATATCAGCTGCCTGTTAAATGACCACTGAAGTTAAAAAAAAATACAAATTGCCTCTGAGTATTTGGGAGGAGTATTAATTCAACCTAAGCAATATAATCTTTTTAAGTGTTAATTTTTAAAAAATCAAGTAGTTATAGATAAGTGAAGTCTTTGGAAATGATTTAAAATTTCATTTCAAGTTTAACATTAGAAAGCCTCAAATCATTACAAATTTAAAGTTTAACATTTAGCAAGGTGTTTTATGCATCGATGATTCCAATAAATCATTCTGAAAAGAATGACTGACTTCATGCATATGCTTTTAAAAACAGACATTGTCCTTTCATTATGCTTGGGATTTTTTTTAAATTCCATGGTGCAGGTTCCATGACATTTATTCATCGATACGTGAGTGTGGAACATGTGTGTGTGCTATAAGGAATTCCAGGATCTGTAGTTCAGAGGAAAGGAAACAACTCTAACCCAAAAGATAAAAAGAAATAACTGGCCAAAATAATTAAAAACAGAAGTATTTGTCTCTTCAGTGAGAGATGAAGAGTGAAAAGACAAACAGCTTCTTCCAAATACTTTTGTAATCAATCAAGAAAATACAGAATTGATTTCTAGGTTACAGAGACACGGGATATGTGTGCAAGGATGCTTCAAAAATTCATGGAAAATGGAATTAGATGATACATCTATGTTGTTGGAAAATAATTTCAAAATTCGTGCATAGTTTTTTTTTCCTTAACGTGTATTTTTAGGAACATCCTGAAGAACCTTCATACAAAGTTGAGCCACTTGAGGAAAATAAGACATTCACCAGCATATATAAACCAGATAAATTCAGATCACGAAGAAATATCTGTCTCAGAAGCAACCATAGCACCATCTGCTAGCAGAGCAAAAGCCTTGTGATTCAGTGTGAGAAGCTTCCTCCCATAGCTCTGCCGAAACTGCCAAGCCAAAGGGATAAACAGGCTGACCCTACGGCCCATGAGAGAGAGAAAGCAAGACCCCTAACACCAAAGCAGAAACAAAAAGAAATAAAGTGGTAAAATTTCCAGAAAAATTATAAAAATCAATCTAAAAAATGGGCTTAGTGCCATTAGCCTATATTTGTATATCATTTCCATAAAAGCAAGCAGGAAAGATAATGACTGATACATATGTGTAACCGATGAAGGAATGGATTTAATATTCATGATCTCTACCTCACGGTTCTAAGTGGTCCCTCCTCTGTGCAAGACACTGAGCAGTAGAAACCAACACCTCAGCCTGAGGAGGTTACGGAGGTTGCGTGGTAAGCAGTCCTAGGTTTTGGCCTAGTAGCTTGCTGAACAAATCTTCAAGGGATGGCACCTGCTAGCTCCACAAAACAATACCGAGAAACACATATCCTTGACTTTGACTATGCAAAACTAAGCATGAATTTTAAAAACCAAACATCAGTCAGGAAAACAATCTGCCTGGTTGTCATGGTTCAAAAGACTTTTAACAGCACAGGGACCTTGCTACTCAGTTTACATATTGGCACACACACATTTCTGCTCTTCAGAATACAATTTTTTTCCACATTCGCGAAATATGCACAATCTCTACTACTTGAGGACAGATTCAGTCATCAGATCCGTGTTCTACTGCCAAGCTCCTTGCCTTGCTCAGAAGTCAATCAATCTATGATTGAATATGCAACCAATATATGTACACCCAGATTGGAATAAATTCAAAAACTGGGGTTGTAGACCACTGGAACACGGTATCCTTAAACGGAGAGGAAACTGCAAGCTAACATTCTAAGGGAAATCAGTTTGCACAATTCCCAGAGTTCCAGTATATGCTTTTTATTCGTTCTTTCTTTTCCTTCCTTCCTTCCCTTCTTTTTCTCTTTCTTTCTCTCTCTTTCTCTATTTCTCTCTTTCTCTCTTTCTTTGTTTCCTTCTTTCTTTCTTTCTTGGATTGCTTCAAAATACACACTTGTGTGTACAGAGAAAAAGTAAGACTTTGCAGTGATCCTGAAAAATTCCAAAACCCAGCTTCTGTGTATTCCAAAGTCTCTCCTTTCGCAACCTGTCACTTGAGTTGCTGTTCTAACACTAAACCCAAGGAAAAAGAAAAAACAACCATCAAAACACAAGCTAGAAGAGGAGCTCCAGTCCCTGTGCTTTCGAGGCTGGGATTTGCACAGCTGCCTACCGCGTCCTCATCAGACTCCGCACAGCCCTGCAGGATCTATCACTGGACACACAGATTCACCCACACCACGACAAAGCCCGCGAAGCCGTCGTCCACACCAGACGACGATGCCCGAGAAACAGGTGTCTGACATCCCTCAGCCCCTACGCCTCTTCAACACGCACTCTAGAGACTCAGAAAGACCGAATAGGTTGCATTCACGAAGGAGGAAGCCAAGCAAGGGCACAGTCAAATGAACCCCGGGAGCCGGCGGCGCGGCAGTGGCGAGTTCGAGCGCACAGCCCACACTGCAGATGCCAGAGGATGGCAAGGAAGTGAAGGGTGGTCCTGGTCATTAGGCTAAGAACAGTAATAACAAGCATCACCACTGCGTTCCGTACAGCAGCAGCACACGGAGCCGGCTTCTCCTCCGGCCCCCACCGCGCGCAGCCTCCCCGGCAGCCCCTCACGCGCAGATGGAAGGCGGTGGAAGGTGACTGAGCCCCGCTCGCTGCGCCACGGGCGGGGCCGGCTCCGCGGGGCTCCTGAGGCGCGTCGCGCCCGCCCGCCGGCCACGCCCGCCGAGCCCGACCACGCCCCCAGAACCTCATCTCCCTTCGCCGGCCACGCCCCGGCCCGCCCTCGCAGCTACATCCCACGCCTTCCCCCGTAGGCCACGCCCTCTCCCGGGCCCCGCCTCCACAGCCCGCACCATCCCACCCCTCCGGCCCCGCCCTCGCCGCCGGCCACGCCCTCAGAGCCCACACCGTTCCACCCCTCTGGCCACGCCCTCCGCGTCGGTCACGCCCTCACTGCCTGCCCCGCCCCCATAGCCCGCACCTCCCCCTCCGGCCACGCCCCCAGAGCCACACCTTTCCTCCCCGGCTCCACCCCTGAGAGCCCACACCTTTCCTCCCCGGCTCCACCCCTGAGAGCCCACACCTCCCCTCCGGCCACGCCCCCAGAGCCACACCTTTCCTCTCCGGCTAACCCTCCCCTGGCCCCGCCCCCGGCCCTTGGAGTTCTGCAGGTGGAACAGGCTGCTTGGACTCCGGTTGCTAGGGCTTACCTCCTCGGCTTCTAGCTGCACTTTGGCTCTGAGGTGAGGTAGCCTGGATGCTGTCTTGGGAACAAGACCTAGAGGCAAGACCTCCTGACCTCGCTGGAGCTTGACCTCACTTCCTAGATTCCGAAGGAAAGAAGATGGAAGACGAAAAGCTGGTTGGTTTGAGAAACAGCTGTGTAGTGTAGTTCTGCACTTCCAGGCAGCTCTTCCAATACTAAAGAAGGAAAATTAAAGTGGTGGGCCGAACTGCCGGGGAACAAACTTGGGGCTCTTGTGTGTGCAGTTAATGGCTCATTTCTGCAGTGTTGCCTTACAGGCCATCAATGAATGGTGGTGTGCTGGGTGCTTTGGGGACTACTCTGAAAAACCCAGTGCACATTTTCGGGTGCATATTCTGACAGGATTTGTGCTATCTGGGATTCCGGCGATCCACAGCAATCTCATTACACTGAAACCTAACTTAGTTTTAGATTAGGTTGTTGCGGCCCACCTAGCCTTTTTGACATTTAAAACAAGCTCCTTTTTTTATGAAGGAAAACGCTTGTTTGTAAATAATGAGACGTTGTGACTCTTCAGAAGTCTCAAAAAATGATGGAAAATGAAATTAAAAGATGTTTTCTGCAAAAAGTTGAAATTCCTGCATAGTTTTTCATAAAATTCATTTCTAGTAACTTTTTGAATTGCGCTTGTACAAAGAAGAGATTGTCCACATTTTTTTGAACAAAAAGCTTTTATAAATTTATAGTGTTAGCATTTTGGAAACAGTGGAAAATGTCATTTTTACTATTCTAAAACATCTGTGTTTCCTAGGAGAAACAGCATTGATAGAACCAATTTAGTAACACAGACCTTAAAATGATCCTGATTAGTAAAATTCAGTATAATAAACCTAAATTTTATCTGTATGCTTTTGAAAATTTAATGGGCAGTTTCCTTACCTTCCTTTTTAAATAAAGGAATTCCATTCAAGTTTCGTATGGTGTATTATCACAGAAGAGTTTTCATTAAGATGTAACAGGGATTCCAATTATTTTTCAGCAACAATTCAAACCTATTCCAAAAGAAAGATTCTTAAGGAACAGTTATGAAAAACAGCGTCTATTTTTCACTAAAATGCAAGAAAACCCACAACTTCTTCGAAGACCATTGCCTCCAAAACTCAGCCGGGTGTCTTTATATCAAAAGAAATTCCATACAGGTATGTGTAGTAGTTAAACATGTGTATCAACATTTGTGCATTTTACAAAAAATTCTTTACACTGCACACCTTGGAATCCAGTGAAGACATTCACTAATAACTATAACTTTCAATGTTTGTTATGTAAGTAGAAAGTCATTCATCTTCATTCATGGAGTCTGTAGATGCAAAATAATATCATTAATAAAACTGATTTATAACCCTGAATCAGTAGCTCCTTTCCAGTCAGTTGTGAATATGGTCAAATCAGTGAATAAATGGCTTAAGTACTGTTAGTCATGATTTAATGTTAACCAATCAATAATATATAGTCTAAATTAAATTATACATTAGCTATATTTAATAAGATGTCTATTCATTTGAAAGACAGCATTACACAGAGAGAATTTCATTTGCCACTTCATTTTCCAAATGACTTCAATAGCTGGAACTAGGACTGTTTGAAGCCAGAAGCCAGGAGCTTCTAGGTCTCCCACGTGAGTGCAGGGATCCTAGCACTTAGATCATCCACTGCTGACTTTTCAGGCGCATGAGCAAGGAGCTCTCTGGAAAATCAAACAGCCAGGACTCAAACTGGCACCCATATTGGATATGTGCACTACAGGCAGCGGCTTTATCTGTTACACCGCAGTTCTGGCTCCTAATAAGGTGTCTTTACTTGAAATATATGGAATAAAATTATGTCTTGATGGTTGGTTATCAAGAACCTCAAGATGAGAGACTCAAAGGAACCTTACCTATGTTGTCACTGAGTAACTCAATATTTGCCACAAATAATGCAGATCGACAGCATTTGTACAGTGCTACAAATTGGAGCTCTTTAATGAACAAAAAAAGTACCTACATGAAAGTAATTTCCACACTTGCATTGCTGTGCTGCTCACTTTCAGCTTTCTTGTTATAGTTTTCCCATCAGTTTTTAGGTTGAAGTTTATCCATTTTATTAGAAGTTTTGTAACTTTGGCATATTGACATTTTTGTACTGGATGATTCTTTATGGGAGGAGAGATACTTTCTCACTTTTGGCATCTTGAAGATTCAATGGCCCTAACTATTATCAACCCCATGTCCCCCAAAGCTCTTGGTAGAGTGATTTGCATAGAATACATATGCAATATATGTGTTTAATGAATGAGCAAACACTTACAATGACTCAAATGCAATTTGTATGAAAACATTTTAAAAGATGAAATTCATGCCTACGCTTTACATACACATATGTTGTAGGAATTAATAATAGTCTGGTCAACTGCCACTCAGAACTTTCAGAAAAGATGACAGAACCTTCACAAATGTTAACTGGTGGCTTGGGAATAAGAAAGACTTACTTAGACAAGGGAGATAAATTCTAAGAGATATTGGAATGGAAAAATGACACCGTACCATAGAAATCAAAGGGAGTATAAATTTGTAGATAAGGAAATAGATTAAAATATCAACTACTAAAAAGAAGTCAAACAGAGGTAAGTAAATGGTAAAATTATTTTGTATGACACTGTAAGGGCTGAGGCATGATATAATGTATTTATTAAAACCCATAAAGCTGTATAATACAAAGAATCAACACAACTATAAACTATAGACATCAGATAATAGCGAATTACTTTGCTTCATTCATTATACTAAATGTAGCACTCTAATGTAAGATTTTTTATAAATTTATTTTTTGGAATAATCTTACTTAGTTGATTAGGGTACAAAGGGTCAAGGGCCACAGGAAAGTGGGTAATACCATTGTTTCCACACTAATATCATTTTTTTCTCTGTATCTGGGGTCAGGGGAGAAACAAAGGGAAAAGCCCCACCCAGTCTCCCACCCATCCCAGGTCCTCGATGTGAGGCACGCTCCGAGGGTCCTGCTCAAGCAGTTTTGATAGTTCAACAGGTCTGAATTGCTGCCAGTCTCGCCGTTCTAATCACGATGAAACCTGTTCAGAATACACTAGCTGACATAGTCTCTTCATGGTTAGGGTCCTGAGATCAGCAGTTCAGTTGGAGGGATCTCCAAAGAAACTTCATCTGAGATGATCCCAAACCTGATTCTTGTGTGAGTTTGCCAGTAAAGGGTCCGGCACAGTCCATCGCCCCAATCTGCTTATGCACGTGCTGGTGGTTGCAATTGCTGGGTCAGTTATGTTTCCAGCCCTGTTTTTCACTTGAACCAATGGGTATTGTAGTCCAGCTCGATCCTACCCCCTTCATACTCGGTCCTCATGCAAACTAGTGGGATAATGTAAGATTTTAATAGGTGGAGCTAACTGGCATTGACGAAAATGATAACTATTGTATGCTAGCTAATTTTTTTAATCTAAAATTGTCATAAAAATGAAGTCTAAATAAAGACTGTAAGATACATTGAAGCAAGAACTAGAACAAAAATGAGAGAAAAGGAATTCAAACTATTGAATGTAAATGACTAAAGTTTGTCATAGTGGAAAACATGGGTACAATGGGATGGTTAATTGAGGCCTTGGCTTTGTTAATGTGTTTGTTTTCATGAGAACGAGGAGATGGAGTGAAGATATAAAATTGAAGATGCTGCTTTCACCGAATAACCCTAAATTTGATTAGTTGACTATAAAAAGAAAACAAGCACTATTCTTCTATTACTAATGTGTTTCAAATCCTTGTGGCAAACATTTAAGTCGCTATGTCTATTAGCCTTGCTCCACTTTCAGCTATTAAACCAGTCCAATCCAAATAGTTCCACCCAGCCTGCAATCAAACCTTGTCCATTTTTCCAGATTAATCTGGGTTTACATTTTTTTAAAAAACAAGAGGAGAGGGGCATAATCAATTCTTCCATCTTGTTATCCCATTTGTCTTGCCCAAATCATAGCTTCTGGCTCCTGTGAGGAGGAGCCTAGAGTAGGGAGAAGTTGGAGTATCAAAAGCATTTTCTAGACCTAAGGGGGGAAAAAAAGAATATTTATCTAATGTAATTCAAATGAACTTGTTGTACATCATAATCTGTATGCAAATATTATGTTGTTCAAAGAATAAACAGATTTGACATCTGGTACTGAAGAGAAACATAGACCTTAGCTCAGAAATGTTCACATGAGAAAGAGTTCATGATGAAGGAGTGAAATTTCATCAGAAACGTATCCATATTGCCACAGTTTGTCAGATGCTCAGAAATACTTCCTCATATTCCACAGTTCTTTCTATCAAATCTGGTCTTCTGAGAGAATCTCCTTCCATTTCTAAATGCAGTACAATTTTGCCTTTTCACATTGTAGTTCTATGAAATTTTATCCCAGTCAAAGGTCCTGGTAGCTGAGCCAGGTGTTTAGGTGAGAGTAGCGGTAAGTCAAAAAGGAAAAAGTTATGAATACAAATACATCAATAGTTTTATATTTGAAACCTAGCTATATATAATCTAAATTTTCTTTTTTTCCTTTTTCTTCAGGCTTAGCCAAGACTGGTAAAATTAGGTCCCGGCATGTTGCATTCTCAGAAGATGAAACGATTTCAACTGAAGCCAATTATACTGTTCCTGATAGTGTTTTGGAAAGGGATTTACAAGCTCCAGCACCCATCAAAGTCCAAAACATCTATATTGATCATCATATACAAGAAAGAGTGACCACTCTTTCAACAGCCCCGAAAGATACTAAAATGGTTTCTTGGCACATTCCAGATACTGCCACTGGTTCCATCTTTTTTCCATCTTGTCAGTCAGCTTCTACTCGAGTTTTTAGGAAAGAAGCAATGCGAATGAGAAGTTTAAGAAAGCACAAGGAAGAGGTACAGTCAAAGCCACACCAAATAAAAATTATTTACATCAATGACAAGCTGGAAGAAGTTTCTACCTATCCAGAATTATCCAAAGTGTTCAACGCACGTTGGCCAGTCTTTACTACCACCTTTGACAAAGTGTACCCGGATTATCACACTTCACCAACAACTCCAAGCCACACCTATGAGCCATCTTTGAGAGATTTAAGTGCAACCTACATAAGCCCTCTTCCCAGTACTGTGTCTGTTAGGCCTGAAAGTCTGTGGTCTGAACGTTACCAACACAGTCTTACACATCTCAGTAGAGTGGTAGTAAGTATTACTCAGTATCCTGGTAATAACATACCACCACCAGCTTTACCAAGGAAGCCTCGAACACAGTCTATTATAGGTAAATATAATCTGATTATGGTACTGTGATAAGGGGGTCAAGTAGACCATGGGGGAGGGAAGGCATGGGAGCCAATGATGTCCCCACCCCACTCCGCAGGGATGAAGATAAAATCACCTTTTGCCTTTACATTTAACTCCTGGATCAAAGTAGAGTAACAGGATTCTTGACACTGCAGATAGATACTAAGGCAAATGGGGTACTTCATCCAGATGTTAATGGTGGGAACCAATAAGAAAATTCAAATATCAGAAAAACTAAAGTAACAGAATGATATGTTTAAATAATCATTGAGAAAGTGATCTGAGTGAATCCAAGCTCATTAAATGAACAATTTTAGTGAAGCTACAATACCCTCAAATGAATTTCCCCAAGTATCCAGAGGTTGCTGCGGTTTTTTTTTTTTTAGAAACTATTGCATCAGAAAACGAAAAGGTAGAAAGCGCTCCTCCAGTTCCAAGACAACCAGAAGGTAAATGTTGTGTTTACATCATTCTTTAGAACTTGTGTAAAAGATGAGTCACTAAGACAGTGCCTATGATTATGTGTTTATACAAAGTATTTCTAAAAATGTTTATTCATAAAATATAAATAAAATACAAATAAATAGGTTGTGTCATATCAGATGTTTCAATTTATTTCCAGTTCCTCTACAGATATGTTTTATTTTCTAAATCCTAGAAAATGATTTACTTATTTAACTGTTGGAGAGAGAACAAGAAAGAATGAGAGAGCAAGTGAGCATATGCTTCCACATGTTGTACTCCATAAGTGTTCATAACAGCCAGGGCTAGACCTGGTTGAAGACAGAAGATGGGAACTCACCTCAGCCCTCGAATATTGTGAAGGGAAAAGTGATGCTTCCCCCATGTAGTTAAGTTTTTTCACTGCTTAAAGACTTTTTATTAAAGCAAGAATTTTATATTTCAAATTAAGTTTCTTTGCCTCATTATCAGTTCTTTTTTCCTAAAACAGGGCTCACAGTCAGAGCTGTTCCACAGCAAAGGATTAAAATGTTAAAGTACGAAATACTTCAAATTTCTGCACTTTGTTGAAAAATCTTTTTTCCTGGGTGTATTAAGCATCAATTTGTTTTTATATTTTACACTTATGTCTTTAATTTAGGAAGCCAAGAAGCGATTTAGAAATGAACAGTAAAATTCTAAAAGTAGCTTGACAAATAGTATAAAAACACTGAAATCGATGGAATCAAAGTTATACAGGTAGAAATCAATGAGCATATGCTTCCTTTGAAAGACAATTTCATAGACAACATTTTAAAACAAACAAATGAAGCAGCACCTGGGTTGGCAGGTGGGAATGGGTAGATGGGGTGTGTGCAGAAGTCCTTCTAGAAGATGTGTAGGTAACCCCTTATGGTAACCTTAATCTTCTCAAAGCATGAATATCTTACAATTTTCACTCTAAATACCAAAGTTTCACATTTTGGTTTTTTTCCTTTAGTTTTTGTTAAAATGCAAGAAGAAAAACAAGGACAGACATTTACTTTACATGGTGAAGGTTTTAAGACAGTTGCAGCAACTCGCTATGAAACACTGGCAGCTATGACTGACTTGGCCATATTACACTGTCAACTATATGGAAGAAATGCACTTAATCTTAAGGTATGCTAGATATCTATATTGATAATATCCTGATATATTTTCAATTATTTGTGATTTATATTTCTTAATTTAGGAGTAGAATCCATGATATTGAAGGAGCCTTTCATATTGCTATAGAAACTTCTCAGGAGCATATTCAAATTACATTTCTAAACCTGTTACTTTTCCTTCAGTTTGCCAATTAATTCTTTTTTTTATTATATATATATTTTTAAATTACATTGTATTATGTGACACAGTTTTATAGGCACTGGGATTCCCCCCACCCCTCTCCCAACCCTCCTCCCATGATGGGCTCCTCCCCCCTGTTGCGTAACCACAGTTCAAGTTTAGTTGAGATTCCTTCATTGCAAGCATACACCAAGCATGGAGTCCAGCATCTCATTGTCCGGTCAAGTTCAGCGGCTTCTTGGGGAGACCCTCCCCGGTCCGAAGGCAGAGCCAACAGAGTAAAATCCCGGTCAATTAAAAGTCCCAACATAACATCAGCAACAATATATAACGTTAAGGGATAAATTGACAAAGTATTGAGCAACCAATATGTCAAAATTGGATGCAAGGTCTTAACAACTTCCTGTGACTATTTCAATGACATTTCAACAGTTGAGGTGCGAAACAGTTTTAGGAGGGGTATGCATAGAAATCTTCCATACCTTGGTGAGGAGTACTTAATCCCTGTGTCCTACCTAGTAAGGTGTGTGTGAGTCCATGCTGATCAAGCTTTCCTTGTTGTTCTCTGCCTATCCATTCCAATTTGTGAGTGTGTGTGTGTGTGTGTGTGTGTGTGTGTGTGTGTGTGTGTGTGTGTTGGGGGGGGTGCTCTGGAGCATCCCCCATGGTCATTGCAGAGAGGGTGGGGACCCGAAGTTGGAGCTAAGTAAGAACCAGAGATAGCTCCTCTCCCTAGTCCTGAAGGGAGTTTACTGTTCTGTTTCTGAAGACCGCTCAGGTTTCCTGGCTGTTGTTCGGATGGCTTTGGATCCTATGATGAAGGATTCAGCTTCTTCTATCCCGTGTGGTAGGTCCAAAGGGGGTGGGGGGATGTCCTCTGAGTTCTCGGCCTTCGAAGGCATTCCAGCCCCCCGTGGTCTCTTTGGCAGTTGGGATGTAGTCCTTGGCGTCCGTACTGAGAGCCCTTGGTGGGGATCCGGGAGTCTCCAGGTTTGGGATACAAGCCTTCTCCTCTCCACCTGCTCCACTCTGTGGTCCCCCACTGCTCTGTGCACATGACCTCCTGTTAATAGGTTGTCAGGGTCGCTCTTGATTCCCCCTGTATGTCTTTGTAGTTTTACTGTTGTCTAATGTCTTGAATCTATTGTCTACAAGTTACCTGTTATGTGCCTGAGAGGTTACACTACATGGCTTCCTCACACGTTCACAGGAGATGGAAGGTTTCTTTGCTCTCCCACCCAATTTCTGAGTAGTAAAGGTTTTGAAAATATATTTGGTTATACAACTTTAAAAACACATGGGTTGAGACTATATTAGGTACAGTTTCATCGGAGGAGATTTACCATCGTTGGGAATCTATAGGGTTGGTTCATGTACCCAAAGTCCTGAGGGTTTATCATGGAGCTTTCTAAGCAGCAATCATAGAAACCAAAGCCCAGAGCTCCATGGCCGGGTGGCCAGTAGGTGGAGCCTAGCACCAAATGGCGCACTGGCCACCCGATACCAGCTCCGGATGCGTACCATGTTGAGTGAAATAAGAGCCTCAAAAGACAGACATCACATGTGCTCTCCTATATGTGAGAGCTAAAATTATAAAAGAAAAACAAAAGCAAAAAACTAGGAGAAAATTCCTATGTATATCTGTATTACTGCAAACAAAATTTTGCCGATTTTGTCTTATACCTTTGTGAAAGCAATGGCTAGGCATGATACTACTGTAGTTTTAGTTATTGCAATTATTTTCAAATTTACTACACATGAGTGAAAGGAACTATAAACGGTAATCAAGCTTATAGTCCTTGCCCATATTCTCACTTAGCAATGGTGCTTTAAATTTTTTTTTACTTGTTCAACCCTTTATGTAGTGGAATATTACGTTTTTGACTTTATAGTAAATTGAAAATGTTATAAAAAAGAATGAAAAAAATAAAGAACAAAGGAAAGAATGACTAGCAGAGATAAAATTTCTTCTTGGTCAGATTGAGAGTTTTTTGGACAGTATGTAATATTGCTGTTAGAAATTCAACATACATACCTATGGAGATAATTTAGGATATTTATCAAATGTTCATATACATTTAGCCATTCATCTAACCATCCCATTTCTAGAATCTAACTCAAGGATAAAATGGGAAAGCAAATGACTAAAAAAAACCTCAAATGGTTATCAACAGGAGACTGGTTTATGAATGTATTTATATACCACATATTTCTAAGAGGGAAAGGAATAAAATAAATGAGAACTAGTGAATCATTATTCATGTCATATTGCAAAGTTAAAAAGACAGCTGCAGAATAACACTTCAGGTAGGCTACAGTTTGTTTAAAAGATAAACATAGGGGTATAAATAAATGTTTTATTTGTTGACTTTATTTCATTTAGGTAAAGTCCCAGAAGTAGGATGGCCAGATTACATGGTACATATATTTTCACATCTGTGAGCAATCTCTATACCGTCTCCCATAATGGTTGTGCTAGTTTGCATTCCCAGCAACAGTGGATTAGATTACTTTTTCCTCCACATCCTTGCCAGTATTTACTATTATTTTTTGATGATAGTAATTCTAACTGGGATGAGATCAAAACTCATTGTGGTTTTTATTTTCAGTTCTTAATGGTTAGTGAATCTGAGTATTTTTTTCATGTGTTTGTTGGTCATTTATATTTTATCCTTTGAAAAGGCCTGTGCAAGAATGTAAACCTATGACCTGATATCATCAAATCACTAGAAGAAACAGTAGGGAAAGTCTGAAAGACAATGGCATGGACAAATACTTCTTCAAAAAGACCCTGGAAACACAGACAGTAATAGTAAAAACAGACAATGGAATCATATCCACTGAGACATTTCTGCACTATGAGAGAAGCACTCGACAAATTTGAACAGAAAGTCAACAAAATGGAAGGAAGCATTTGCAAATTGTACATCCCATGAAGGATTGATATCCAAGATCTATCAAGAGTTAAATAAACTATTTTTTATCTTTAAAAAACAAAAACAAATTGGAGTTATCCCTAGCTGCAGATGACATGGCCCGTTGTGCAGGAGAACCAAAAAACTCTAGTATGAGGTTATTAGAATTTACAAGAGAATCTATCAAAGTTGTGGGGTATAAAACCAACAGAAAAATCAATAACTTTTTAAAATATTTATTTTAAAATGAGAGTTACAGGAAGAGAGAGGGCAAGAAAGAGAAGAAAACAGAGATAACCTTACTTCTGTTCACTCCCTAAACAGCTGCAATTAAGCAGCACTGAGCCAGGCAAAGTCAGGAGCTTCACTCGGGTCTCCCACATAGATAGTAGGGGTTCAAACATTCAGACCATCCTCCACTTGCCTCCCTTGCCATCATTAGTGAGCTAAATTGGAGGGGGAGCAGCTGGGACACCAGCTGGGACACAAACCGGCACCCATATGAGATGCCAGCATTGCAGGCAGTAACTTTATCCATTATATCACAACACAGACCCTTCAATAGTTTTTGTTTTGTTTTGTTTTTAGATTTACTAATTTATTTGGAAGGCTGAGTACAGAGAGAGAGAGAAGCAGAGACAGATGGATTAATAATCCTTCCTCTGGTTCACTCCCCAGATGGCGACAACAGCTGGGGCTGTGGCAGCCAAATTCAAAAGTCAACAGCTTCTTTCCTCGCATGGCTGCAAGAGCACAAGTACTGGGTCATGCCTGCTTTATCAGGCATATTAGCAGGAGCTGAGTCAGAAGCAGAGCAGCCAGGACTAATCCAGTTAAAAAAAAAGAGAGAGAGAGTTAAAGAAACTCACAATAACAAAACAAATAACCCAAGCTGATGAGTATTCCATTGCTGGTGGATGAAGTGTTTATAAATTTCTGTTAGGGTCATTTGCTCAATAGTATGGTTCAACTCCAATGTCTCTAGATCAATTGGATGTGTCCAGGGATCGTGGTGGGCTGTTGCAGTCCCCCACTGTACTGTTGAGGTATAGTGGTTTCTTCTACTTTCCATTTAGGGTAGGGTGGAAGTAGTGCTATGCTCCTAATGTGTATTATAAATTACGTGAAACTTATTCACCTTATATAAATAAAAACAACAAAAGTAAAGTGCTGCTTGGGACATTTGCATTCCCTACCAATGCCTGAATTCAGGTACGGACTGTTTCCCATCCCAACTTCCTGCTAATGTACACTCTGAGAGACAGTAGATGATGACCCAAACACTTGAGTCCCTGCCATCCACTGGGAGACCTGTATTGATTTCTTGACTTCAGCCTGACCCAACCCTCACTGTTGAAGGCATCTGAGGAATAAGCCAGGAGTAAAGAGGGAAGCTCTTTAAGTCTCTGCATTTTCAATAAAACAAAACTAAATGACAAAAATGTTAACAACATACACTAAAGTAATCAGATAGCTGAATGAAGTAAGACAATAATTCATGGAAATACTGAAAGAGAGAGGAAGAGTTCCGGGTAGAAGAAAGGAGAAACCCACAGTTAAGTGGCAGGATTAGAGTCGGTGGAAGTCATACTTCAGCTATGTACATAATTTAGTGTCCCTCTAGTTTTACGGAGAGAAAGAAAAATATTCAGCAACATAAAGAATGGTGTCTGCTTTTTTTTCTATCAGCAATATACAGATACTGATAACTATTAATTATTTTGTAACAGATCAGTCTCAAACACAACACTGTTAATACTGAGGTTCTTTAGCCATACAACGTTTTATGTGTTAAGCATCATGACATAATATATTTGTAGCAATACCTGCCTTCACTGAAGTTTGGTCTATAAAGACTAGATTTCCTTGGTTTACTCCATTGTTCACTAATTCTATGCTCATCAGGAAATAACTATTCCAATTTCCTTGAAGTAAAAAAAAAAAAATCCTTGGGACAAGGCTGGTATTGGAGCATGAAGATTACTCTGTAGTTGAGGACATCCCATCCCATATCTAGCTGCCTGGCCTGAGTCCTGACTGCTCTGCTTCTAATCTAGCTTTCTGCTAATATGATGCTGGGAGGTAACAGCTTGGGTTATTGCATCTTTGTCAGCCGTGTGGGAGACCCAGATTGAGTTCCTGAACCCTGGCATGGCCATAACCCATGTCTTGTTCAAAAACAACTACAACAAAACTCTCACAGTACTGGAGGCTGAGAAGCCCAAGATCAAAGTGTCAATAGAAAATTTTTTAATAAAGTGCTAATCAGTTCTGTTCCTGGTGAAAGTCCCCTTGCCAGATGGCTACCTTCTTCCCGAATCCTTACAGGGCAAAAATTTCTGATCACTTTCTGCTCTTATGAGAGCACAAGTTCCACAGAGGTGCCTGGTACTCTCACACCTCCCCAAATCTTCTGATTACATCTGGGACTAAAGCTACAACATTTGAACTTGAAGGGAACACAAACATTGAGTCCATAGTAACACATGCATTTTTCTCAATCACAAACTGACATATTGAATATGAAGTTTTAAGAAGATGGTAGATTAATAAATAGATCACAAAGAAATAGAGGAAGAAACTTAAAAATGGACAAAAAAGACAAATACAAAATAGATTAAATTACTTATATTTCAACATGTTTTGAATATTCAATGAATCTTTTCTTGCTATCAATTGGAATAATACTACCGTATATAAAGCAATATACTCATATATAAACATGTAGCAGTGTTTCTATTTTATTTGTTACTTAAGGAAATATTTTCATGACAATAAAAAAATGGATAAAGGAATGGGCCTGATAGCATATCAAGTATTTTATTTACTTGTGTGCTTTTTCACTTTTATAAAACAGTTGGGGCATTGCTAATTATTAACCTCTTATCTCTTGTCATTTTCTTTTAGGGCTTTTTTCTCTTGAGTTGCCCAGACTTGACATGCTTGGCTTTCCAATTGATATATCTTAATTTATCATTTAATGATCTCTATCACTTTCCCACAGAAGTGAGTCTATCTATACTACTGTATATATTATATATGGCCATATTTATTATTGCATATAACAATCATAGTAACATAAGTACTCTATAGTATTCAGAAAGACTGTTTCAGAAGAATGAAAAGTGCAGTGCTTCTTTCATAAGCACTCCCATGGCAGAATTTTCAAAGACCATGTTTCAGTGTTGCAGTCAGTCTCCCCAATATTAAAAATGTATTCATCTAATCCTGAACAAAACCTCAAATAATATTCCATGTATTAAACAGAGCTTTGAAAACAAGATTAGTGAATACGTAATGCTGAAACAAGTTTTTAATTACCATATGCTGAAAGAATATTCTATTTAATAAAATGTATCAGGAAACAGCAGATTTTAGATGATAGTGTAATGTCATTTAAAATACATTAACCATTATGTATAAGTAGGGACAATTATATCTTCACTGTCTTCAGTCATGTCTCATTGGTCACTGGTTTCTGGGTTGCTCTGTGAATTGACTTTCAGAATGTTGGGTTTCACGTTGGTAGTATAGTGGCGAGCGTAGCTGCCTTCCAGAATGTTGGCTTTCTTTGATTTTAGTGAGTTGTCTTTATTCCTATTTTCACACATACAGAATTGTAAACACGTATTTTCCATAGTTTCCCTACATTATTGTTTTTTATTTTCACTAGGATGTAATGCTTTCCTTTTCATTGTCTAAGACATAAAGCCAGTTTTACTAATTTGACAAATTGACAAAAATCCCCAAGAGATCTTAGTTCTTCACACTAATTTAATCTTTCTTCTACATAGAGGTAATATGTAAAAATAGAAGGAAACTAGAGGTAAGTTATAATGTGCTTATTTTTTAAATGACAAAATTAAACAGAAATTGACATTAAGGTACAGCCCTGTGTTGCACAAATATAGATAAAGTCTGACTATGAGGATGATACTATCCAGACATACCAAGGCTATCCTAGGGGTTTGGCTAATGATACCCAGTTGTTGGCAATGATGCAAAGGCAGAGAAATCGAGTGATAGAAAGAGGCAGAGATTAAAAAAAAAAAAAAAAGAAAGAAATAGAGATGGAAATCGAGAGAGAGAAGGAGGGAGGGTGGAAGAAGGGCTGGCCCAAGCTAAAGCTGGCAGACAGAAACTCCAACAGGCTCTCCAGCATGGGTGGCTGGCACTGAGGCACTGCTGCTTCCCAAGGTGCACATTAGTGAGAAGTTCAGTTGGAAGCAGAGGTGAGACTTAATTCCAGGCCTTCTGGTATGGGATGAGGGCATCCCAAGAAGTGACCTTAACTGCTGCACTATGTACAAGAGGGCTGTTCCTGAGCCAAGGTTATACAAGTAAAGTACTTATGTTAGCTTACCTTATCATATATGTCTTACCGGTTAGTTCATTCAAAGTTTTACCAAAGGGAAACAGTCGATTAAAGTTACTCTGTTGGTGCTACTACATTAACTCAGGGTTTATAGAATTTAGCAAGTAGGGGTTTGCATACTTTAACATTCCACTCAGTTTTGCTATCCTTTTATGTTCCTCAGGTATTCTGTCTTAAAAATTTACAAGTACTGAAACTGAGAAACAATCCTATCAAAGAGATTCCTTCTGAAATCAAACAACTTAAATTTCTTAGAATTTTCTGCATTTCCTTTAATTTGATTACTAATCTTCCACTTGGGTAAGGTTGAAAGTCTGGAATTATCATCATAGAAAATAAAGAATTTACACTTTAGAAAAAGATTTGTTTTCATTTTGAAAACCAACTAGCAGATTTTTGGCTCTTAAGTCATTCTTACCCTGTTTTAATTATCTACTTTTTTGTTATTGTGGTGTTAAAAATAAACCTATCACCTACATGAATGGCAATGGACATGAGTGTAGTGAACACAGACTATGAAACCTGTTTTCTGAGTAGATATCAAACAAACAAAAATCACCTGAGGACTTTTAGGTTTGAATATTGTATCTACAGGGTACAGCCTTTTTCATATGAAAAAGCACTGAAATTTGAATTAAGAAATCTAGACCCTGCCTTAAGTTGGTGGTAATCATTTGCCCTGTAGATAATAATTTAATCATTTTTGTGCTCAGTATTTTAATGTATGAAATAAGAAGATTGTCCATTCTAATATCTACACTCTTTCCAACTCTAGTAAGAGCATGGTTATTTAGAGTATAAGAAACTGATTTCTTCTCACATGTGAACTGATAATTATTTAATTTCTAACAAAAAGCATAAACTAAATGTTAGCCAATGCCAAAGCATAATATTTATTTTAATTATGTTGTTAACTAATTGAATATAGATTCAAATAAAAGGATCAAAGATTTTGGAAAAGAAGATACCATAGTAAGTATGGAAATGCATCAAAATTCATTAATAGCAATGTTCTTCCAGCACTGTTTGTAAATAACAAGCTAGGCATTCATGTTCCACAGACTGAATTATTTAAGACATTATTTGAAATATTATGCAATTTCTGCAAAGTATATAAACACATCACACATTATAAATAACATGTAAAGTGCAACAATTCACACTAAATAAGTAAGAATGCTGATTTATGGATATTACACTTCAGTTTGTCTTATCTGTATTTTTCCACAGTGACATAAATAAAGGAACTGTATCATGAAAAATAAAGATTTTTAAAAAGATTTATTTATTTGAAAGGCAGAGTTACAGAGAGATACAACAGGGGAGACACAGAGAGATCTTTTATTTGCTTGTTCACTCCCAAAATGACTACAAGAGCTGGGTTGGGCCAAGTTGAAGATGGGATCTAGGAGCTTCATTCAGTCTCCCACCATAGGTAGCAGGGAGCCAAGTATTTGGGCTATCCTCTGCTACCTTTCCAAGCATATTGACAAGAACCTTAATTAGAAATAGAGTATCTGGGACTCAAACCGGTGCTCATATGGGAAGCCCATGTTGCAGTCAAAGGCCTCATCTAATATACTACAAAGCCAGCCCCAGGATACAGAAATTTAAACAAATACCAAAGTCAATATAAAACATTCTAAGGGCTATAACTGAAAAGCTTAATAAAATAGTAGAGAGAATATGGGTTAAGTACAAAAGCCTAATGTGAAGAAAAGACAGGCACAAATTCATTAGTCTAGGTGAAGAATAGGGACAAGAACATTCAGGCAGTGGCGCAAACAAATAGGAAGCAGACAAAATTTGAATTCTTCAACCAGACTGATAGAAAGGCAACATGGTCAGGTACAATGAGATTACCCTGCATGTGAGGTACAAGCATTTGATGGCAACTGTGTCCCAAGAAGTTTGGGATATGTTGTGAGAAGGGCCTGTGAGAAGTTTGTGAGATCTTGGTTTATTTGAAAGCAGGACACTGACAAGATTAAACCTGAAAATTGATTATTTGCAGATAAAATGGCTAAATTAATATAGGGTCCTATTGGATCCAGGTGGGTCTTGAGTCCAGTCATTTGGAGGCCGAGGAGAAGCAGAGGCAGCCATTGGGACAATGCCTCCACAAGCCTGGAAATGCAGCCAGGAGTGCAGGCAGCCTGCGGAAGAGAACCAGACCAAGGGACGGTGTTTCCTTTCAAGCCTCCAAGAACTCCCAACCACAAACAGCCTGAGCTCAGGCTTCTGGACCCCTGAACTCTCCAAGAGAGGATGCCTGTTATTTTAAGGTAGCTTGGCACGTCAGATGTAGGCAACTAATACAGTAACAGAGAAAAGTAGCCACATGACAGTGACATTTTCCCAAGTGCCTTTTTCAAACATCTCAAGCCAGTTAATGTACAGCTGAATAATTTTTAGGAACTTCTGTGGTAATTATATCATAATTCATGAAAAGAAGTCTATGTAACTTTCAAAATCTTAAAAAAAAGTAGCCTCCCCCATAGTACTACCGTTAAATATTTAATATTTGCTGATAATGTTTTTATAATAGATTTCATTTTCATGTTTAAGGTTATTTGCCTTATTTCATCTGGAAGAACTTGATATTTCCTACAATGAATTCACTTTTATTCCAAATGAAATCTACCGACTCAGGTATTTTGGAAGTAGTAAGTACACAGAAATTCAGAGGCCCCCCCAAAATATTTTTGGTGTACAAAGTGAGGAAAAAAATCAAGTCCTCTCTTTTACTTAATAGCCTTAAGATGTAATATGCAAAACATGAGGTTCACCAACAGTGGAATTTGAATAACTGGTGTACAATATGTATAAGAAATGACATTTGCAGTAACTATTTGAAGGCACTGTGGATGAGCGCTTACTGGAACAGCAATCTCCCTGCCTCCATTGTACTGTCTGCTCCTGTGACTCCAACCAATTTCATGAGTGTTTGGAAGGGGAGGAAATATGAAGAAAATACTCAAAACATACAATGTAATTTATTTCATTTAAAAATATTTATCTAGTTACTGCTCTGCTTTCCATTTTACTTTGGGTTTACCATTTGTGTGTATTTACTTTTTCTTTTCCCTGTTCTTTCTTTTTCTGTTTCTTTCCTTTTTTAGGTGATGTTTTCCTTTTTCTTCTCATTAGTTTTAGAACACTATTTGATTTTCTAATCTAGTAATGACTATTTTTCCTTTTCCAAAATTCATAATAAAGTACAAGTTTTCTTCACTATTTTCTCAGAGCAAAATACGAAGGATTTTCAAAATGTTTATGGAAAATGTATTACAAGAGCTATGTGTGGATTTCATTTTTCTGCACTAAAACACACTATTTTTAATTTCATTTTCTAGGCACGTTTTAAAGTACCCTCATAAAAGCTTTTTTCCATCCCAAACCCTCATGACAGTCTGTCTGCCTACTGTCACCTTCCACCAATAATTAAGGTTTTCATAAGCTTTTGTTTTCTTGCTTTCCCTCCACACTCATCCGCTTCTTTTCTAACTGTGGATTTCACTAAGAGTTTAGAAACTCTTGCTGCAGATTCTTATCAGAATTTTCTTTTAAATTATGCCTCCGTTTACTAAAGAATGTTCCTTTAGCCCTTAAATCCCGTAAGCATTTTCATCTCCAATGGCTGGGCCAGGCCAAAGCCAAGAGTGTCACCTGGGTTGCCCATGTTGGTGGCAGGAGCCCAAGTACTTAGGCCATCTTGTACTGCTTTTCCCAGGCCACTAGTGGGGTTGCTAAAAAAAAACAAGCAAAACAAACCTGCTGATATTCCCTTTGTCCGTGAAAACCTATCTTTTCTGGATATTATTATACCACATTATATTTTACAAAGCAACATTCATTAGTCTGGTTGTGTCTGTTCTCCTTTCATAGTGATGACTCATTTTAAAGATCCTGAATACATGCTTTAATGGGCTGTTTACACAACTGCATTCATGGGTATAACAGTATAACAATAGTTCAGCTACTGTGCTAAGTAAGTTCTTCTGAGTTTAAGGAAATAATTAAGGGGGAGGGACTTAGCAATTCAGATGCCACTTGAGTTTCCCTCACCCCATGTCAGAGAGCCTGGGTTCAAGTCCCAGCTTCACTCATCATTCCAGCTCCATGCTAACATGCACCGAGGAGTGCAACATTTGAGATTGCTCAATGGGTAGATCCCTGATGCATCTATGGCAACCAAAGTGCACTCCCTTCTCCCAGCTGTGGCCTGACCCAGCTCTGGCCATTGGGACATTTGGCGCTTTGTCCCTTTGCCTATGAAGTTTAAAAAAAAAAACTAAAATATGCACACTTTTGCTGCTATTAAGTTTAGTACAGGTTTTCCAGAACATGGGAGCAGAATTTTCTTTTAATATTGCAAATATTTTTAAATGTGGTCTTTGTATTTACAGGTCACTTGAAAAACTGCACCTTGATGGAAATTACCTGACTTCTTTGCCACCTGGCATTTTAAAGCTTAACTTGACAAAAATCTATTTGGAGAATACCTTTACCCATCCTTATTTTTGGGCAGAGAATTCTTTGAATACTCCACAACGACTTACTCAAATTACTGCTTGGTTCATAATCGTAAATAATATACATAAATTATATGAAAAAATCCCAGTGAAAGCTAAACTATTGCTAAAATGGTAAGTAAATTTTGAATATCTAAATGTTCTTGCATTTAGCCTAGTATTTGAGACACTGGTAAGACAACTATGTCCCATCTTGAAACTCCTGGGTCTGATACCTGTCTTCAGCTTTTGACCCCAGCTTCCTGGCAATGGAGACCCTGGAAGGCAGTGACAGTGGCTCAAGTAAATAGCATGGTGTGCCTTTTGTCTATTTTCTAATATAAGAAATGTATTATTTAAGTCCAAAGCGAAGAGTGGGCTACTGAGGTTTAATTGGTGATACCTGTGTGGTTGTGACATAAATCTGTTCTGTGAATTCTCAATTAACACAGAAGTGGGTCCTGCTATTGTTTACTTCCAGTCATTCCAGATAGCAAAAAACTTTTAAAGATAATTGAGAAATAAGAGATTATCAGTGCTGGCATTGTGGTGTAGCAAATTAAACTGCCAGTTGGCTTGATCACATTCCTTATTCAAGTGTGTGCTTTAAGTCCCCAGCTACCAGGTACCAGCTTCTTCTTGGTTCTGATTCACCTTCCTGTTAATGTCCATTGGATAGATTCATTGATTTTCAAATATTTGGGTTCCTGCTGCTCTTGAAGCAGATCTTGAAGGAGTTTCTGGCTCTGAGCTTCAACATGCCCTAAACATAACTGTGTAGGCATTAGCAAAGTGAATCAACCAGCAGATACAAAAGAGAAATGAAGAAATGATAATGAATATACAACAGAGGTAACAGAGATCTGAGCAAAGAAGTTTCATGATATACTTAATGTCCTGAAATGGGAGAAGAGAGAGAATGATTGTTCAATGAGACAATGAGTGTATATTCTTAGAAGTAATGACAGATGAGAAACCATAGATGCTGAAAGCTCTATGAACAAGCTGAGTCTTGTTGCTTTAAAATAGCACTTGCTCACTTGTGATAGAAGTGAAAAACACTAACAGCGAAGATAAGGATCTGGAATCAACAAGATAAAAACTCACTTAAAAATAACAACAAATTTCACTAACAATGGAACAATCAATAAACAAAATGCATTTTGCCCAGAAAAACCCTAACCTTAAAGAACAAGAGGAAAAGCCATTAAAGAAACTAAAATATAAAATTTGGTTCCAATAGAGTTCTCATTAAAGGATCTTGAGAAGCATGTATATCAGAAAGAAATAAAATGACTCCAGAATCAAATTCTGAGATATATGATAAAGAAAAATATAAACATTATCTCTATGAAATAATAACAGTAGTGTTGGGGGCTGGCACAGTGGCATAACAGGCTAGCCCTTCTGCCTATGGCACCAGCATCTTATATAGGTGCCAGTTCATGTCCCAATTCATGTACAGTGGTTAAGAAGCCACCTGTAATACCTACATCCTAGGTTGGAGTGTCTGGGTTGAAACCCAAGCTCTATTATCAATCCCAGACTCCTGCTGATGTTCACCACAGACACCATAGGTGATGATTCTAACAGCCAGGTGTCTGACACCTATGTGGGTTCCCAACTGAGCCTGATCTTATCTCGGGCTATTTTAGACACTTAGAAAGTAAACCAGCAGACAGTCACTCATAGTATCTGTCTATCATGCTCTCTACCACCCAAAAGCATTTTTTCATGATGTACTGATCCCTTAATTTTTTTTTAATAATAAGATTTCACAGGTTCTGAATTTTCCCTCTCCACCCATATCCCCTCCCCACCACCAACTTTCTCTGCCCTTTATGAACAGTCATAAGTCCATCATTCTGCTGTTAGTGTAGGTATGCATGATGGCAGAGACCAGCATCCTATTGTAAAGATAAAGTTTCATTGGGAGTCCATCTCTTATTTGGAAGTAGAGATGCACATTGCATTGTGTCTTCACATCTGGATATGATAGTCTTAATACGCAGTTACTAGTTCACTAGGTTCTTGTCTGCAGGTTGGGGTGCCTTCCTGTAGCTCATCTGCTCATCCACTTGGGCTACTAGCTGCAACTTTGGACTTTTTCAGCAGTTTCTCCTTGGCGTGTAGCTCCTGCTTCCCCCTAGTGGCCTTCAGGGAACTTCGCTCAACTCATCCACTGATTTATCCTCTTCAGCTCCTTATTCCAGCTAATTCTGTCTCCTAGCTCTCTCTGCACTCTCAGCTACACCTGCCTACCCTATTTGTCCAACTTGTCCCTCTATTGATCCCTTAATCTTAACATAATGACCTACTTTGTCCCTTCTAGCAGTTTTTATTTTAGACTCTATTTTGTCTGATGAGTACAGGTATGCCTACTCATTTTTTTATTTCAATTTACATGGAGCATTTTTTCCAACCTTGTATTTTCAGTCTATGCATATATTTTCAAAATGTGCTTTTGTAGGCAGAAGAGAGATAAGTCTATATCACTTAATTGTAGAATTTAGTGCATTTACATGCAAGGTTATTATTATTATTAAGTAACGATTTGGCCATGGTTTTTTTTAATAAATATTCCTACTGTTTGTTTTGAATTTTGTTTGTTTTTCTAGTAGGAGATTTTCTGTCTTTGTAGGTTTCCATGTTAATTATCTCATAGTAAATGCATATACACCCTTTGCTAGGACACCAGTTTTATAAAATAAATGTTACTTGTTATAAAGAGAGACACACACTCTGTTACAATAATAACGGGAGATTTTAACGCCCCACTTTCATCAATGGACAGATAAACCAGTAAAAAAAATCAACGAAGGAAAATAGCTGATCTACACTATAGACCAAATGGACCTACTAAATTCTACAGAACATTTCATTCCACAACTAAGGAGTACACTTTTTTTTTCAGCGGTACATTTGACATTGTATAGGACAGTTCATAACCAGGCAATAGAAAAGTCTCAACCAATTTTAAGAAAATTTAATCATATCCTGTATATTTTCTGACAACAAAGACATAAAGATGGAAATTAACAACAAAGTAAACTGTAGAAAAAATATGAACAGAAGGAGACTGAACAGTAGCTTTACAAGAAATCAGAAAGGAAATCCAAAAATTATTTAAAATGAATAAAAGTAAAAATATAACTTATCAAAATTTATGGGATACAGCATAAGCACTGTTGAGAGTAAAGTTTATAACAATTAATGCCTACACCAAAAAACTGGGAAAGGAGCAGAAAGTGACCTAACAACACATTTAAAAACAGATAAATCAAATCCAAATTAGTAGTAGGAAAGAAATATTAAAAAGTAAAGAATAAATAAGCCAAATAGAAGTGAAAATTTATATAAAATATCAGTGAAATAAAAGGCCTTTTTCTGAAAAAATAAAATTGATAGACCGTTAGCCCAACTAACCAAAAAAGAAGAGAAAACTTATGTCATTTATAACAATGAAAAAGAGAGATGATATAATCAATCCCACAAAATGAACAAAATAAATAGGAATTATTGCAAACTGCTACATGCCAACAAACTGGAAAAGCTAGAAGAAATTAGTACATTTATGGACAATGAGGCTTAAGGAACTGTTATGAAATATAAAGAATTTTTTCAAATTATCAGATACAAAACACAAAAAGACAGAGAACCTAGCTAGAGAAGTAATCAAGATTGAAACTGAATTGGTTATAATGACCCTGCCAGCAAAGAAAATTTCAGATCCTAATGGCTCCACTGGTGACGAATTCTACCAAACTTGGGCCTGGTGCAATAGCGTAGTGGTTAAAGTCCTTGCACTGAGCATGCTGGGATCCCATATGGGTGCTGGTTCTAATCTAAGCAGCCCCACTTCCCATCCTGCTCCCTGCTTGTGCCCTGGGAATGCAATGGAGGATGGCCCAGAACATTGGGACCTTGCACCCATGTGGGAGACCTGCAAGAGGCTCATGGCTCCTGGCTTTGGATTGGCTCAGCTCCAGCCATTGCAGCTGCTTGGGGAGTGAATTATCAGACAGAAGATCTTCCTCTCTGTTTCTCCTCTCTGTATATCTGACTTTCCAATAAAAATAAAATAAATCTAAAAAACCAAAAAGAATTCTAACAAACTTTTGAAGAGTAACAAACCTTAATTCTTCTTAAAAATTAGTTTTTAAAAACAAAAGAATTAAGAAATAAAAAACAGAAACAAGAATGAACTGAATAAATAAAATCAGAAATAAAAAAAATTGCAACTAATACCTCTGAATTCCAAAGAATCATTCAGTCTACTAAAAAAAAATTATGTACAACCAAATAGAATAAAAAAAAAAACCAAAATATAGTCTTCTACCTATTAATTCAAAGAATGGTATATCATATTTTAATACATATGCAAATATATGAAGATACTATTTCATGTCATGCTTCTGAGAGTTCAGGATGAAATGAGCAACATTATGGAAATGTATATTAACTAACATTACAGAGCTACAAAAAATAAAAATATTTGAACACTTTGCATGAGGATTCACTTCCAGAATGTATGAAGAGTTCAAGAAACTCAACAACAAAAGTGAACAGCCCAGTTAAGCAATGGATGACAGACAGGAAGAGAGATTTTTCAAAAAATGAAATACAAATGCCCGCAGACACATGAAAAGGCCGCTCAGGATCATGAGCCATGACAAATATGTGACAGAAAATTCGCATCATTCATCACCTCACCCCAGTTGGAACAACTACCATCCAAAAAATCCAAAAATAACACATGGAGAGAAAAAGTTGTTTAAAATGCTGTTGGTGAGAATGTAAATTAATATATGGAACACACGTGAAGATTCCTCAAAACTAAAAACAGATGATCTATCCCACTCCTGAGATTATTAAGGAAATGAAATCAGCATATGAAAGAATAACCCACACTCCCGTGTTTATAGCAGCTCAACTGACAATCAGTAAGACACGACATCACTCTCGATGTCCATTAACTGATGTTTGAATAAAGAAATGATGTATACGTGATGGAATATTAGTCATGTAAAAGTTAAATCCTGACACTTGCAAGAAAATGAATGCAACTGGATATCATTTTGCTAAGTGAAATGAACTAGATGCAAAAAGATAATTATTGTGTTTCCCTACTTTGTTGCAGTTAATATACAGTCTAAAAATTGTGTGGATGTTCTATCATTTGATATGTAATTGTAATAGAGTGTCTTTGAATCATACCATTCAAATGATGACATACTCATTGTATATATTTTTTTAAAAAGAAATGGAGAGGGAAGAAATGATAGTGAAGACCCCAGGTTCAAATATTACTTTGGGTGTTTTTTAATGAGTGATCACTTGACAAAAATTCATCCGTACTGTTATGTGCAATTCGTGATATATGTACTGTATTTCAAGAAAATGTTTTTAAAAAACATATTTGTTTTGACTTATAAAAAATGACATATTGATTATAAAATACTTGGAAAAACATTTTTAAAAATTGTAAAATTTAAAATCCATTGCGGTCACATTTTCCAAGGATAATAACTGTACTATTTGGGGATCTTTCCTGGATGTCTTTTTTTACAGTGCATATACACTTTTTGTTTTGAAAATATGAGTTATACTCCACATACATCCACTTTATTGTTTATCTCATTGAGTATTTAATGTTTGACTTGTTGGTAAGTGCTTCTTTTAGATCATAATCTCTATGAAGATAAAAAAAGCTTTTTTACTTACTGTATCTTGCTTTGAGTCTCACGTTATACTAATCACTTGAGTGGAAAATTCTTCAGTACTGACTTGATGTTTTTTCCATGTCAGCACGCGCAGATGTGATTGGTGCCACGGCCCCATGTTTGGTAACGGTTTGTGTATCATCCGATCCTGTGATATGTTTGGAGCCTCACAGCTTCCTATTATGTTTCATGTCTGTTGTTCTTTCTGTTATAGAAGATTGAAGGAAAGTACCTATTATATTGAAAGTATTTCTGGCAAAAGAGTAGACCTAAATGTGGAACCATCCAAAGAATCATGATATGGCAATTTATCATTTACACTGTAATAGTTATTAAATTGTGCATCAGTAATTGACATATGGAAAGCCTAAGTGTCTTCTCATATAAATTCCCTTGGAAATCCTACCTGATTTATGAAGTTGGTGATTGTAGGAAATTGTTTGAGAACTTAATTATTGGCATGGGGTTAGTAAAAAGTTATTTGATTTTGATGAAGATGTAGAAAATGTAAGTCTATTTATTATGAAAGGAAAAACATTAGAATACTTTGCAAAATGATTGTATCTTACAACTGGTCCTTTAATGCAGCCATGCTAAGTCATAAGATAGCATGTCAGAGTTGTTGCTGGGGATTAAACTTGTTGCACGTATCCAAGTACATTTCTGGTATGTCCTCATGTATCCAAGTACATTTCTGTTACACCTATGTCCTCAAGTATCAAATACATTTCTCTGGAATTCTATCCATCTCAACTATGCATTGCTTTTGAGAATTAAAGATTAACTCCAGACTCATTTTCAGTTGTTTGACCTCCTCATTTGAGCTCTTTAAAAATGACACAATCTCTAATGATTGCCTTGATCTTCATGCTATCACAGCAAGATTCTAGGTGTTATATTCCACAGGCCAGCATCAGCATTTACCAAGGCCTTCACTAACACCCAACAGCAAAAGAATAGAATAGAACTTACAAAACTGCACTGCAAATTAGCATCACATATAGCAGATCTTGAAGCTTTAAGAACTAGTGCTTAATTGAGGATATGGCAGTACATTGGAGCATGTAGAAGACACCTGGTACCGTAACAGAGGACGGAGGACAGAACAAATTGATCAACTACCCCAGCCAAGTGCTGGCAGTGACTATCAGGGTAAATGGAGACTCTAAAGTGAACTATGTCAGCCAGTGGCTTCTAGAAAGGTTTTATCATGATTGGAGTATTGAAATTGACTGCAATTCAGAACTTTTGAACTATCAAAACCGCTTGAGCAGCACTGCCACATTATACATGAAAATTAGAATGTTAACAGCTTAACTCATTACAAATATAATATAAAAGCAATATTCATTGTCTCCCTGAAATATCTCTTGGAAGAAGAAATATCTTTACTTATTAAAAAAATGTTGAGTTTTGGTTTGAGAGGGTGGAGCAGAGAGAAGTCCCAAAGAAACCTCATCAGAGATGACTCCAACCTGATTCTTTTGTGTATCAGCCAGTGTGGGATCTGACTCAGTCCATCACCCACACCAGCCTACGCACACACTGGAAGTTGCAATCACCTGCTCAGTTCTGTCCTCATCTTGTATGCAAACCAATGGATATTGTGGCACAGACTAACCCTGTCCACTATGTAGCCCTCATGCACACCAATGGGAACTTCAGCCTAGTCAGAGTGACTTCTAGTAACTTCCACTGGGCCCAACCCCAGCCCTGGCTCCTGTGCATGCTAGTGTGCATTTGATTGGTCCAGTCTGTCCCACACCCCATTCAGCTCTCATACATATCAATGGGCACTGGAGCCTACCTCAACCTTACTGACCTCACTATCCAGTCCACATTCATGCCGGTGGGTGCCACTGGGCCTTTCTAGCCAGGCCTGCCCATCCCTGGTTCTCATGCTCACCAGTAGGAGTTGCAACCCATCAGAGAGGTGCCCACAGTTTCCCAACTGGGTCCACTCCCAGCCCCGGATTTTATACTTTAGGGATGGTTCTACATTCTAGTCTGACAGGACTTGCCCCCAGGCCCAGCACTTGCCAGCTGATGCTGTGGCAAAGCCCTATCAGCCTATTCTTACTCTGGCTCATGCATGCACAAGTGGATATGGCCACTTAGGTCAGCCTGGTTCTCCTCTTAATCCAGTTCACATGCAGACCAATTTGTGTTGTAGCCCTGCCCAACCTGGTCTGGCCCCCAATCCCAGCTCTCATGCTCACCAGCAGAGGCAGTGGCCCCGCAGGGAGCCCTCAGAGCTCCCCAGCTACACTCACCTCCCATTCTGGGTCTTATGTGTGCTGGTAGGTGCTGCGGCCCAGACTGGGATGATTCACCTTACCTCAGTATCCAACAGTGAGTGCTGCAGTCTAGCTTAGCTCAGCCTGCCCCCAGTTCCAGCTCATGGTGGTGGGTACTACAGCCTAGCCCAACCCAGATAGCCCCTAGTCCTGGCCCTAATGTGAAGTGAGTGGTTTTGTGGCCCAATCCAGCCTATACTTTACACTGACCTAGTTCTCACAACTACCAGTGGGTGCTGTGAACTTGTTCAACCTGACCCATATACATGCCAGCAGGTACTATAACCCCACTTGGTCTGGGATGCTCCCAGCTTTGGTTCTTACTCTCACCTGCAAGGAATGTGTCCTGACAGAGGAGTTCCCCAAGCTCCTCTCTCAGGTCAACTCCCAGTGGCAGATCTCATACACACTGGTGCAGCCTGACTTGGCCCACCTCTTGTCTTGGTAAGAACAGTAGCCTAGTCTGACCAGTGCACACTCATTCCAGCTCTCACTGTTGGATGCTACATCCCAGACATACCTGGTCCACCCCCTGACCCAATGCTCGCATGGTTCAATGAGTTCCAGACCTAGTCCAGCCTGTCCTACACTTACCATGGCTCTTATGAGCACCACAAGATGCTGGAGCCTAGTTCAGTCTGGCACACCATAGACCCAGTCCATACCCATGCTGAGAGATGCTGCAGCCATGTCCAGCCCAGTTTGCCACCCAGCTACAGGTCTTGTACATGCCAGTGGTTGCTTCAATCCAGTCCAGCATTACCCATCACCCAGCTTGGCCTTTGCCATCACATGATGCAGCCTGACCTGGTCTGCACCCATTCCCAACTCCCACTGGTGAGTGCTACAGACTAGCCATGCCCAGCCTGCCCCCATCTCTGGCTTTCATGCAAACTGGTAGGTATGATTGATAGTCTAGCCGAGCCCAGCATGGCCTGCACCCCATCCTAACTCCCACTCATGCCAGTGTGCTATGGTTTGGCCTGGCCCTGCCTGGTCCAGCCTCTACAAAGCCAACCCATACATCTGCCAACACATAGAACAGTCCTGCACAACTTGACAAATACCCAGCCCTGATTCACATGTTCACCAGTGGGAGCTACAACCCACCAGCAGGTGTTCCCCATGTTATCCCACCAAGCCCACTCCCAAATTTTACACGTGCCAGTGCATGCTAGGGCCTTACCTGGCAGTCTGCCCCACAATGTCGGCCTTTGTGTGTGTTGGTGGATGTTGTGGCCCAGCTATTCCCACACCCAAATCTGGGTGTGTCTGCAGGTGCTATAGCTTGGACCAGCCCAGCCTGTTCCCAATCCCAGTACCCAGGACAGTTGTTGTGTTCCATGTTCATGCCTAGTTCAGCCTGTCAGTACCCTAGCCCTCAAGTATACCAGCTGGTATGGCAGTCCCAGAGGGGTGAGCCCATGACAGAATCTGTTCTCAGGCCCAGTTCCTTCATGAGCTGGTCAATGTCATGGTCCACCTCCGCTGCTCCAACACTCACTGGTGGATACTGTGGTCAAGCCCTGCCAGGCATGCCCCCAAGCAATGACTTTCATGTGTGCCAGTAGGCAGTGGTTGATACCAGCAATCCCAGCTCAGGTATCCCACCTTGGTAAGTATATTGGTTTGGTCCCCAAGAGTCCTCCAGTTTCCCTCCTTTAAACCTCTTGGTCTCAGCCTGCTCATTTACCATGCAAGTACAATGACCTGGTTGATGGAAGTCCCCCAGAAGTCACTCCTCACCTGTCACATTCTCCCTCCCACGCATCTCCAGACCCACTTCCCTGGGCAATTAACAGCCCTCCATGCCTGGTCCTCTGGTGATGTGCCGTGCCACCCTGGGACCCCACCTGCCTACCCAGGACCCACGTGCAAGTGTGTGTAATCCTCAGATCCTGTCTACTGACAAAAAAAAAAAAAAAGAGTAGGCCACCGTGTTGGCACACTGGAATAGTTAACACAAATCTGGCATTAACCAGGCCCTGAATGCCTGCCCAACTATTAGCTGCTTTTACCAAGCAGTATAACACTTGCCTAGATGCAATGCAACCTAGGCTGTTGCCTAAAGCTGGGGCCATTACCAATTTTTAAAGATTGTATTACCTGCCTCATTTTTGCTTCAGAGCTAAGGGGATATTAAATCAGGATCTGAAGAAAGGTGGTCTTTTAAAAATCCAGAGTGAGACTGATATTTTAAAGCAGGAAATAAAACTCCAGAGAAAAGATGAAACTTACTGCACAAAAATCTTAAACACCTGTGCAGCCCAAACTATTATAAAATAATGTTTAGCAGCAAACAGTACATTAGTAAATGAACTTGTAACATGCAGGACCAACAAACAGCCAGGCTGTTTTCCAAGGAATCTGGATTATGCACGACAGAACCCACTTGAATCAACACAAACAATAAAAACAAATGCTTTAGTTCATGCATGTGACTTCAGAGACAACTAGTTCAGGAGACCCAACTGTGTTATGCAAGTGTTTTCTATTTTTCTATTTGCCTTCCAAGTTAGTTCTATTATCCATTCATCTTTATGTCCATCTGTCATCTGCAAGAATCACCTATTTCAAAAATTAGATGATTTACTATTCCTTGACATAAAAAGGTATCTACCAGGCAGTTTTTGAACAATAGTTACTAGGTAGTGGAAGCATAGCAACATAATTCAAAAGATACAAAAGAATATACTCTTTCTTTAAATCCAATGTCCTGTGTTCATTTTCCATCTCAGAGGAAACCAAGGATATTAATCTCTTTCTGCATTTTTCCAGAATAGTTTATGAACATTTAAGTCAAAATAGATCTCTTCTCTAGTTATATAATAGTAACATAACATATACTCCTTTCTGCAATCAACATGATATCAGAGAGGAAGTTTCATATCAGTATACTACTAATGAAATTTGAACTTCAATATTCTACAATGAAAAAAAATGTTGTCACAAATAACTTTGTCCTTTGTGCTTATTTAGATAAATCACTGGCATCAGTCCCC